TAATTTGTGCACGGGATGTGTACTTGTTGGAGATGTACTTTGGGTTATCGTGGACATAAAAAAAAAACATTAACACGATCCTGGATACCGTTTGAAAACGTAAAATTTGTGAAGTATGTGTCGCGACGTATAGTGTAAGTGTTCACTGTTCAGTTATGTTTGTTCAAAATTTGGTTATTACATTACATTTTATTATCATAGCTGTTGTAGTAGTACGGTGTACGTATGTACAGTGGTATAAATTTTATAATAAATAGGCTTGGTGTGTGTTGATCGAGATAGGATGATAATTAATCAACAGGTGCGATTTTGAGTCCTCATAGAATACAATTTACACGGACATTGTGAGAAATAATTGCTGGGAATTTTTGTAACAGGTGTGGAATTTAGAATAAGGCATTGCATTCACCTCTAATTTATTTGTATCTAGCCTATCAGATGGAAACAAGTGGATGTATGTTAACAAATATCTTATTATAGTACATTTATACGTCTACATTTATAATTTATAGGTATTCGTGTATTCGGTTTGAAAAAAATATTCTTACAAAAGAATTATGACGCCAATTGTACTCATCAAACAAATAAAAAGGTAAATGTGTTTTAATTATGTTGGCTATACATTTTATTTAAAAAGTAACCTCTATAATATTATAATGTGCTGGCCTAATACAATATCATGAATACACAGATTTCTAGAGATTATATTGTTTAATCGATCAGTATTGCGAGATAGTTTCGTAATTTTTTCTACTGTAAAATATTTTTCTAGTCAAGTTTTTAAAATTTTTTTTTTTAGATTCTGAGTGAAACGATGAATGTATTGATTTTACAATGATGTGTGTTTTTTTTTTTATTTTTTTTGTATCTGTGTACACGATAAGTAGTCGAAATAATGCTTCGATTTTCGACTTCAGTATCTTGTTCGATTGAAAAGTGAATATCGTTGTTGCATTGAGGAGGTCAAAATTTAAAATTCCCAGTACTTTTCAAAAGCGCCAAGAAAAACAAAAGAAAAATTAAGGAAAAACGGGAATTTTTACGCAAAATCGATTTTTCAGAAAATTGAATTTGGTTTTTGGTGTAACTTTAAAACAAATGACCGTAGGTACATGCAATTTTCACTGGTTGTTTATATTTGCATCTTCTATACACGATAACATTTTCAAAATATTTTGATTTATTTTGAACAGTTTAGGGACATTTTCATTTTTCATTTTTTTTTAGTTTTTTTTCTAGAAATATCAATAGAATTTTATTTGTTGGTTGCGAAAGCTTGAAAATTTAATAGAAGGCTCCTAATATATTGTTTCAAAGGCAGATGAAAAATATTAAAAATCCTTAGTCACAATTTTTTTTTATAAGCATATAAAGTTCAAAAATTGACAAAATATGGAAAAATCACGAAAATTAGCAAATTATTTTGAGTTAAGAATTCGTAAAAATTTTTCCTTTTAAATCTAAGATTTGAAAATGTAATACAAGATTACTCATAAGTTTGTCTACCTGTATCAATAAAAAAATCTCTACCGGAAAGTTAAATTAAATTTTTATGAGCGTTTGAAATTCAAATTTTTACAACATTGGTTATTCACTCGATTTCTCATGTAGCGATTTCCTTATTTTGTTGTAATTCAAAAACGAATAACTGTAGATACATGACAATTTCACTGAATGTTTATATTAGCATTTTCTATACACCATACGATTTTGAAAATATTTTGACTCTTTTTGAGCTGTTTACGGACATTTTCATTTTTCAATTTTTTTAGTTTTTTTTTCTGTGAATATCAATAAAGTTTTATCTGTTGGGCCAAAAAGTGTAAAAATTTAATACAAGGCTCCTGATATATTGTTACAATATCAGTTGAAAAATATTAAAAATACATAAACACAATTTTTTTTTATAAGCATTTAAACATCGAATTTTTACAGAATTTTTCAAAATCTCGAAAATTATTAATCATCGTAATTAATAAATTATAAAATGTTCAGTTTTTATAGCTAAGGATTGAACATTTAAAACAAGATTCCACGTAAGTAGTTAATTCTCTTACCGAAAAATCTAAAATATGTACAATCACAGTTTATTTTTATAGTCATTTTATGTTCAAATTTGGACGAAATTACATATTAAAAAACCTAGTTATTTTGTTGTGATTATATAATATTATTCGTGGGTACCTACTTGAAACTTCTAAAGTGTACTATTATATATCTTTGATAGTATCAGGGTTTGTTATTGATGTTGATGTATAACGTGTTATAAGTACCTAATGGATATTGTGATAATGTGATATGATTAATTTGGAATTTATTATAGGTCAATTTTTTTTTAATACCATAGATATGTATATAATTTGTCTTAAACCTAGACTGACATACCGTCTTCGCTCAGAATCGTTTTTCTTATACAATGATATTGTATCATTGAATTCAAATTTAAAAGCATCCATTATACAGTGACCCACTTGTAACCTACTGTACAGCAGAGCGACATAAACTTACCCACCTTTTTTGTAATGTTTTTTTGTTAGTGAATTTGATTTAAGTTTCCTTAATTTTATTTTTGGCAACTATTTATGCCATGACTGAATGACATTGAATTTTATCTATGTCGTGTTTTAGTTGACTGCAGCTCTGGATCGCCGTGTTGAATGAAAAGTGGTGGTGTCGTATTCCGTTGGCTTATAGTTAGAATAATTTGATCATAGGTAGGTCAAGTTAATTATACATCAAGAAGTTTGGTTAATTTGAGTAGGTACTATTTAGCAGTAAACTTACATATTATGATATTCAGCTAGTATTTAAAATATAGTTTGTTATAATTATAGTAGCTGTGTATTTAAAGTTCAAAACTTTAAGCACCCACACGTACAATTTTAGTGTTCATTTTAACATAAATTGGTATCTAAAATAAAATAATGTCCATGAAATTATGATAAGCTCGTAGGTATACCTAACCAGGTCTCCGACGTTAAATCTGGACCTGGTACGTCATGGAGATGTATGTGGAAACATAGTCAGCAGTAGTCAATTATACTTAAAAAGACTTAAGCATTAGTTAGTCCAATAATAATAAATAGTTTATATTTATAAGGATATTATATAATTACAGTTTATTTTATAGCTGTTTATTTTACTGTTTCGTAATTTGGTTCAGCTTTATATTTTTTTCACGAGAGTATTATTTGCATTTGAAGCGTATAAATAGTTTTAAGCGGTGCAAGAAGCACTTTTTCAATAACAACAGCAAAACTTCAAAACATTTTATTTTTTCTCACAAAACACTCAAATTCCGGAAAAACTTGGTATATAGAAAAAGAATTAATAAGCCTGTTCAAGTAAATGATAATTTTTAACTGAGTTAAGTTAAGTTAATGGAAAACATTTTAAATGGTTTAAAGTTAACAGTTAACCTAATTTTTTTTTTAACTCGTTAAGTTAAAAGTTATATTAATATTTTCAATTAACTTATTAACTTAAGTTAAGTCAAATTATTATTTTTTTTTTATACTATCTATATAAATAAATACTCAGTAATATGGTTTAAAATATTAAAAATCATAAATATTATTGAACACAGGAAATAGCCAATAGCTTTTCTATACATAGGTACTGAATTAATAGAATTATGTAGTAGGTACGAAAAGCATACAAAATTGAAAATGCCGAAACAAATTCAATCTTTTGATTTATTTATACAGATAAGTATTATACATACTACACAGTCCAAGTATCCAGTTAGTGTAGACTGAATGTATTGAGAGAATTAAAAATTAAAAATTCTATAATTTTATAATTTAATCAAAAACGTATTTCACTGGACACTGATAATCATATCATAGTTACACAAAAACTGAAACACGGTATTGTAATTCTTGCGTGTTGAGAGAATGAAAAGTAGGGAACCCATGTGGGCTATGACTATTTTGTCTACTGACAATATTGACTGCTTATACATATAAACACTTGAATTATAAATACACATGAGGATAACCCATTTAGTTTTAATTTAAAAATAACTTATTTATGCCAAAAATATTTTACAATATGTTCTTGAGAATTGTACATTTTTGATTTGTATTTATATCAATACAATTAAATAATATCATATTAGCTGAATTACCCGTCGTTGCCGGGTTTATTAATTGTTGTTATCTGGGAAGATTAAATATTGTCTAATTAAATACAATTTAATTAAGATTGTTTAAAAAAATATGTCATATATTAATTGTTTATTAAGCTGATTTTTATCGTTAATTTATTATTTCTCTATAAACTACATTAGCTGTAAATCCTGTTGGTGCCAAAATAACTAAACTCATTGGCTTGCCAACTCTGGAGCATGTCACATACAATTGGTCATGTGAAAAACAATCTTCTCTTATATCGATCCCTGCAAATTTCAAGGTGTGATTTGTTTATTGTCATGGCAAAACATACTTTTACAGGAAACTGCATTCTCTTGAATTGGAAAGGATAAACTGATGGTATCATTGTTATGCGTAGAATAAGAACTGATTCACCTTTTGCAGACCCAGTCATAATAATAGCTTCAATCAAATTCTTTTGTAGACAAATAATCCGTAGACGTATCCCATCAATTTTGGTTTAACAAGATTTCTGAGAAGCATTATAGGACAACCAATTTTTAATATTAATAAATGTAGTGGAAATTCAGGAGGGTTGAGGGAATTGATAAATTCAACTGGATAATTAACTGCATCATCTACTTCCAGTACTGAATTCACTGATCTGTATTCAATATTTTTTGCTCAGAAAGAGTCCAATGTTATTTTGTTTATGTCTCCTGCTGTATCATTTTTTTATGTCAATATGGCCCTCTCACATAACCCATCCATTGATTTATCTTTGATGTTTTCGATGCCTGGATATATTTTGTCTGTAAGTTCCTTTATAGTTTTTACAACAGTACCTAATCCGGTCGGCAAAGTAATTTTTTCTTCATATTCCGGATATTTTCAATTAATTCCAACTCATTTATTATAAAGTTCATCGTCTGTTATATTATTTTCCATGTGTTGTCTATAGTATTGTCGCCGGATATCGTCTGAAAAATCGGCCTTATACTTATTCCAAAGCTTTGAAGCGTCCGATGGATTGCAAAATATTAATATTACACCAAATATTTCTCGCACTATATTAGGTGAACGACATACTACTGCTTCTTCTAAAGCTAAATTAAACTGATTGTCATCTTCTAATAATCCTAGGGCTCTACATGTTGCTTGAAATGTCAGATATGCGGTGTTATTGTTCACAGTCTTCAAAAATGAATATGATGTTGGTCCTTTTACGTGATGAAGAAGAAGACGAAGATGGTAACATTCAACATTCTTTGGGTGGATTGTATAAACTCTACCCAAATCTGTATCTTTCTTAACTCCTGACCAACCCACGACATTCTGGCCATATTTACTTCTAACAAATTTCTTATTTATCCACACATAATACGAAGCAACTTGTGGATAAACCAATGTTCTTTAAAAATCATCGGTTTGACATATCAGAAAAAATCCTGAAGAGTAGTTGTAGGTGGATTTTATATTCTTTCTGTGACATTATCTGCTGTAAAGTAAACACGATATCCATTTTCTAGGTGAACATCAAGATGAGTAATAGCTGAATACCTATCGTGTATATGAAAACCTAAAATTTTCCAAGCTGCTTCGGAACTACTGATATACCTGCCACTTTCATATATTTTTATTTCATCTGTTTTGTCAGTTTTTGCCTGATCGCTACCTTTTGTGACATATTTGCATATATATTTTATTGATTTTATTGAACTGGTTATCTCAACATTTATATGAGCAATAAAAGTACGCAACAAAACTGGGTTGTATTGAACGACTCACCTGTTATCCAAGTCAATTGACTTAATACTCACTTTGAAACCTTCATCGTTTGTAGATCGCCTTCTATATTTTGGGTAACCATCTTCTCCTCTTTGAGTTTCTTTAATGAGGGTACCTGAATAACGTTTGCTGCAAACATCTTCTTTCATGCATGGAGAATTTCTGTTCAAAAGTCCACATGGTACATGTATCATGTTAGCCTTTACTATCTCGTACAATAAAGGATCTATTACTGGATTCGGAATCTCAGCACACACGAATTTATATATCATATCTGATGAAATTCGATTCTCTAACCATAGCAATATGTGTACGTGAGGTAGGCCTCGCTTCTGCCATTCAATGGAATGTATATGACACCTCAATTTTCCAAACAAATCATATTTTTACAAAGCATCCATTAACGACTTAACTTTTAAATTAAAAACTCTTGCAATGATGTCTAGGCGATGGTAATGTTTTTGTCCTCCTAGAAGTGCTTCTTGGATTTCTCACCACTTTGGATTACACGTAAAAGTTATGAATAAATCTGAGCTGCCATAGTGTCGAACGTACGTCAGTACATCTTGGGATCGTTCAAGCATATAACGTGGACCTCCTATAAAAGATGATGGCAACACAACTAATGTTCCAAGTTGATCTGCTTCAACATCTTGTCTTCCAACGGCATCTTTTTAATGAATATTATATTTATCTGCTCTAAGTTTTTTTTGATGGTTTCTGATGAAATTTAATTTTTCAGTCTTTATTTTTGAGTACATATCTACTAAATATTGGTTGAACAATGGTCCATAACGAAGCAAATGGTTATCTAGTTCTTTTCTAACCATAATTCTGTATGAATAAAAGTCAGAAGCAGATACAGTTTATTTGGAAAAGTTGTCATCATATGAATTGTAAGACATATTAATAAAGGTATTCCAATTATCAGATACATACGCAAAAATTTTATTTCGGATCTCCTGGCATCTTTCTTGAGTCTTAAATAAATCAAAGGAAATTGAACTGAAAAGGCAGCACCATCACCGATATTGGTACAACTATTTGAGATTTCCACATTCCATTCACAGTCATTTCTTCAATAGATGACATTTTTTATAAATGAAAGTGAAAATAACTAAATAATAAATAATATCTTATGCCCATATTTTATTGCCAATGGCAACCCCTAATCAATAATAATAGTTTAATAATATAAATCAATAAATATAGAGTAACTAGCAGACCCGGCGAACTCCGTTTCGCCACCAGATTCGTTTTATGTTTTTTTTCGTTTGGTGATTAAAATATAAAGAAAAAAAAATTTTTTTTGTTATATATTTGAAAAGGAAAATGACTAACGGTCGCGGATATCGTTTTGTGCACTTTCCATCAGCCATGCAAGGCGATAATGGATTTAATGCACCGCACGGTCCATGCACCATCTGTGTCGTCACAATGTCGTGTAGACGGGGATCAGTGACTGGATCAGGAATTTCAGCTGATATGATATCATCCACTTCATTTGAATGTAATTTGTTCAGCAACCAAATTAGGATATGAGCATGCGGTAGTCCACGCTTCTGCCATTCCACCGAGTACATATAACAACGTGTGTCACCAAAAACTCGATACTTAGTAAGCACATCCATCATAACCTTGAGTTTTTGCTGAAATACTCTGGCGATTATGTCATGGCGATCTTGCGGTTTTTGACCTGGTTCCAACTCGCGTTCAATTTCCGTCCACTTCGGATTGCATGTGACCGTAATAAATAAATCCGGAGTTCCATAATTTCGCACGTACGTCATAGCGTCTTGAGCGTATTCGTGCATGTGGCGTGGGCTTCCGATATAAGTTGATGGGAGAACCGTCAGTCGTCCAATATTCTGAACATCACCATCTGAATGAATAGCATCACGCAAGTGTATATAGTCCTCAGATCGTAGCTTTGGCTGATTGAATCTGATGAACGCTAAACGTTCGGTCTCGACTTTGACATACATGTCGACAGCGAATTGTTGGAATAGCCGACCGCACTTCAGAATGACATTCTCCTCATGTGTACGAATCATCATACGATACGCATAGTAATTCATTGCGCTTAGATTTTTATTATTCGTTGATACTCCTGAAAATGCAAAATTAAATGAATTGTTAATGGAAACCAATAAAAGTAATAATGGAAATAATTAGTGTGTGAATATTGTACCTGTAATTGGATCGACCATCTTCAACGTGATGTCGTATCCGTCTTGCCCTTGCCAATAAATGATTGGATATTGTAACGCATCGTACAAACGATGTGTCTCGTTTACACGATGCATGATATTGCTTCTTCGCTGAACGACAATGTCTCGTGATTTAGTTGGATCGCCAACAATAATTGCAGCAACATCATTAACGGTGGGTGCATTGAATCTTCGCACATGTTCACCTGTTGGAGTACAATCCGCTCTTATGACAAATTTGTGCGTATCCGATGGCATTCGTTCCAATGCTGTTTTGAACATATTAACCACAGCATTATTAGCGTGAAAAAATGCTTGCAACTGTTCAATAATTCGTCTCTTTAACTGTTGTGCTCCCTGTATATTGCACCGCACGTTCAGCTGATCCACCATCGACGAAATGAAATATATTTGCAGAAATTGATGCGGTTCATCTGGTGTGGTTGGCACCATTGAACCATGCAAATGATATATTTGACCTTGTATCTGTAATTGCAAATAATCATTAAAATTTGTTCATGAATACCTTTTAAATCGTGTGTTTGTGTAGTGTGTGGTGTATATGAAGTTGTTATGTGTTGCAATTATGTGTTGGTTATGTGTGTTGTATCTTTTACCTTGCAAGTCGGCATGAAGCCGCCTTCTCGAATGATATTAGCTCCAAAGGAAGTCATGCGAAAGCAGTTATTGTATTCAAGGATGTGTTGAAGAAAATGGCTGGAATCGGGATCACTTCCATCAAACAATGTTTTCAGTGGATGTGGTGGTGTAAGTAATGGATCCAGTTTGACTTTTCCACTTGCGCAGCACAATCCAACCGTTTCTCTTTTGAACTTTAACGCATTGCAATATCGGCATATAGTCGTCATTCGTCCAATATCAAAATTTTCATCATCACTGTAGTTCGCAGTGGGATCATATTGGAATGCCAAGCGATTGTATGATGCCAATGATCTTCGTGTGCTCACGCGATGTCTCAATCGGTCATTTTCTCTTATTATATTTTGTCTTTCTTCTCTTAAGTTCCTTGAATATACTTGTTGCTGGTTTGCATGTCTTGTGCGGCGGCCGATGTTCGCACGTCGTTCTCTAGGCATTTTGGACTATGGACAGAGTGTTGAATTTAACTTCAAATGCACGATCCACATAATTTACATAATTTATTTTAGCTTAAATGAAATTAACTGGGCAGAGAATAATGTAAACAACTATCCGTCAACTATATAATAAACAACTATCCGTCAAACACTTTATCACGCACCGTTGCTATTGGTTTGAAGTACATGCTATGTATAATAGATGGCGCTGTATGTGAAAAACGATTTCCCCACTTTTCTGTTGAATTTTTCCTGAATTTTCCAGAATTTTCTTTGCTATAAACCTGACGGAGCCCAAGACCTTTCCAACGAATGCAAAACCGTGGAAATCGGTTCGTGCGTTCTCGAGTTATAGCGTCAGGGAGGAAAACCGGACTTATTTTTATATAATAGATAATAATAATAATAATAATAATTAATATTAGATATCGCTTGATAGATGGCGGCGCCACTGTTGTATACTTACTACCTACTACTTCATTTTACCTTTAGAGGTTGAATTTCCAAAAACCCTTTCTTAAAGCACGGTGAATTATAATATTAATCCATCCTGAAAATTTCAAGCAGATCTGCTCTGTGGTTTGGGCTCTACGGTGATCCCTCCGGAGGACAAATTCCTTTATATATGTTACGGGCAATGTGGAATACTGGGCAATGTGTACATTGCCCGGTCAATGTGGTCCTGCCCGGGCAATGTGAACCACGATGTTTTGTTTTACCAACTAACATTATTTTTATTTTTTTATTTAATTTTATTATTACCCATTTATAATTATAATAATAATAATAATAATAATAAGTTATTTTTTATTTTTTTAAAATTAAACATGAAATACATTTAGCTATTATGCACGGTGGTGGAAATCGCATGACATACGAAATAAATAAAAAATTTAAAAATATAACTAGGGAAACAATAACATCATATTAAAATTTTTTATGTAATTCCAAGTGCAATGCTTCTAAATCTTGTGCAAATAAATAGGTAATAATAAATGTATAATTTATTTATTTAAAAATATTCGTAATATTAATATGGTATATGAATATAATTAATTTCAAAATTTCATAGTTTATAATTTTATTGTTTTAAATAACTCGTTATATGATAAGATTTAATAAAATTAATAATGATTGTTTAAAAAAATAAAAAATAACTTATTATTATTATTATTATTATTATTATTATTATAATTATAAATGGGTAATAATAAAATTAAATAAAAAAATAAAAATAATGTTAGTTGGTAAAACAAAACATCGTGGTTCACATTGCCCGGGCAGGACCACATTGACCGGGCAATGTACACATTGCCCGGTATTCCACATTGCCCGTAACATATATATAGATTACTTATTAGTTATTAGTATTTATCAATTATTATTATTATTTTTATATCTTTATATATACGATACGCCTATATGTTATAATATAATTTGCTATTGCTATATCTAAATGTATTTAATTGAGTTATTTTTCTTAAAGAATTCTGGTTAATGGAACAATAAATTAATTCAACTATATTTGTAATTCCATATTCTAGTAAATAGTTATGCAATATAAATAATAATTTTTATTTTATTATATGTGTTATTTAATTATTTATAAATAAACTTAACTTGAATTTGATTAAAAGTAACTCGTTATTTATTAAGTTTATATCAATAAAAATAAGTTAAGTTAAAAATTAAGTTAATGAAAATTAAATTTTAAAAAGTTGAGTTTAAAGTTAAAATTAACCTAACTTTTAACTTTTTAACGTGTTTATGCCCAGGCTTGAGAATTAAGCAGTGAATATAATTGGTATATTTTATAAGTACCTTCCTACATACCTACTTACAGAGGGTGTTACCACTGTTTCTATTAGCACTAAGCAAATTATAGGTACAGCAGTAGAGCGTTCATATTATCTCCAGTATAGATTTTGGATTTAACGGAGTGAGATCATGCAAATTATCAAACACTGTATAATATAACAGTATGATGTTACATAATCTTACGTACAAAAATTAAATTGAATATTATTATGTATACATATATTTTCTACCTATTAACATTTTTTTTTTTCATTGAACTTTATAATCCCGGCAACTATGGTCATTAGCTGTTTTGTAGTGGGGGGGGGGGGGCGATTGGAACGGTTGGTTGAAACATGTTTTTTAGGTTTGGCAGAATTTCAAATTGGGCACCAGTAGGTTTCTGCCATGTCTGGGTGGTGGATGGCAGCATCTCTCTCCGGACACCTTGACTATCCCCAAGAAAAATATCACCCGTGGCCGGGTACGAACCGGACTTTTTAAAATATTATAGTTTTCGTGATGCATATATTATACAATAATATTATTGATACCATTACATCGACTCTCTACTGTACCGTGTGGATTAGACCAACACGGGGGATACCATAATAAAAAAACTCGCCAAATGTGATATCTCATGCCTCGAGCCTTGTCGCTTTATGAGCTAAGGTGGTGAGGAAATTTACACAATCACCTGTTTTGGGATAATTCAAATTATATTATAAATATTATAAACGATAATATCACTTGGGCGTTAGTCGCGTTCAAATCTTCACTTGCATAGTGGTCGTGGCAATTGAATATCAGAAAATACAGAAATATGTGTGGAACGGTAAAAAAATCAAACTTCGCAACGCAAAGCAAAACTCTATGATATAGTACGATTTAGAATTAATATTTTTTTTTACCATAGTTTACCTGTAAGTACCTACTAGAATGAAATTTGCACACGTCCAATAAAATTAATAGGACAAAAACGTTTATTGTGCTTTACACGCGATATTGAGAATAAAATAAAACTATAAAATGAACCGCACAATGTGTACTTAAATTTGAACAGGAAACCACTTGCTTCTATTATACCTGCACATACAATAATACGTAATACACGTACATATGTATGCAATGAGTCTGCTTGACATGATCACTGCAGTGTTTGGACGATATAGGACAAAGAAAAAAACCCAGCCGTCCTTTTTAGAAAATGGAATGGGGCAAGACCCGTTTTGAGAGATTAAAAAAAATACAACCTATTTGGATAATTTCTGGGGACCCGTTTAGACCAAATAATATCACGCGATTTCACCTACAGAAAAATAACGGAAATAATTAAATATCATAATATGGATTTATAAAAAAAAAAACGATGATAATAATGTAGTAATCGGGCTAAATGGGTCGCACGTCATATTTTCTTTCGGTTTTGTCTAACTAGTCCAAACGTGCCGAACGCGCTTATAATATTATTATATGAAAACCGTTTTGAATTATCATTACGACAGCGTTTTCGGCCTTTCACACGCAGTGCCGCTCGAGGCGTGCGACGAAATGTACCCACCCCGCACCCCAAGGTCCGGAAGAGCTGCATAGTCGTCTCGGGACGAGAAATTCGGGTTTTTAATCGCCGTTTATACGCCCTTTTCGCGGGGAGCATCTTCAACCGGAAACTCGGGACACTCGATAGATGGATAGGGGGAGGGGGTGTACCCACCATCTCCCGATACCCGCCACCGCGTCGATTGCTAACGAGAATCGTTTGCTGGCGATATCGAAATCGAATCATCGCGTTCAGCACTTTAGCGGCGGTTCGTTAATTTCGGATGTCGACGATGACGATGCCGCGGGGCGGTCGTCGGAAACGGAAGCCCGCGGCGCCGAGTGGGAGGAGAATACCGAAATACGGAAATAGTCGTCACACCGCGAGGTGTAAATGCCGTGGGTAGGTAAGTATCTGTAGGTATTTTTTTTTCGGAAGCCCTCCGAAAACGCGATGTGTCCTGCTGCGATAGTTTTAAATAATGCGTTGAGAAAATTATAACGTCAAATGTAGTAGTTCACCATCTTTATTTAATAAGCATGATCAAATATGGACCATATAACGGACACGACCGTTGCATATTCTATAAATAGTGTCATCGGGTTGAACGTTTGGTTATATACCATATTATATATACGTATAAGGTGCAATTATAATATGTATTTATTTATTTTTTTCAATTGATCGATCAAGAGAAACTGACACTGAATTCAGAGGGTGATAGATATGCTGCATTCTGCGTGTACCTCAGAATAACTAAACGGGACATTATAACTGAGAAATAAAAAATCTGTTGAATTTCCGGGGAAACCAGTGTATCAATGGATTTACAGTGGTCGAAATTCCCGTATTGAAGGCGAAACATAAAAATTGTAATTTTTAGTTCAGTGTCACTATAGAAAGGGAAAAATATCTTCATACAGATAGCACTCGTTTGCCCTTAGATTAAAGCCTTTTGGCTTTTAATTATTTTGTGGATACACACATGTAGTAGATATTAAAGGAATGGATAGAACATCAATATGCTTATCACATGGGTAATTAATGATAAGCGTTTAAGGCATTATCACAGATTGACTGAACAAGGGGCCAATTATTTTCATTGTTTTTGTACGTGACATAACAAAAGCCGTTGTATCTATCTGTCTTCCTTCCAAAAAAGACAAATAATGTCTATCAATCTATCCTTTAGTTGATATAGATTTGTCCTATTTATATTATTCATATCCAAGCAGATCAAAGTGTCAAGATAATCATTAATCGATGTCTAAGTACTCTAAATAAAAATTCAAAACCACAACTTTTTAAAATATTTCAAAAATGTAAATAGTCAACAAGCAACCCAACGTAAGTTACCCCAACATCTCACGTTTAAAAGAGCAAAGACGTTTTATGACGGGTCGACTGTAACTTTCATTAAAATTGTTAGAATTTATCGAAATACCAAACAAAAAACAGGTATAATAATGTTACCTCAGCCACTTAGGGCTAACACTCCACGGTCGTTACATATATATTAACAAAATAAAATAGTGTAATAAGAATGATGTGTAAAAATTATGTGGTTACGTTATTGTTTTTTAGATTTATTTATTCATACATATTATAGAGGTAGGTAAACGGCTTTAAAAGTCAAGTCCCCTATACGTTGTCAAATAACTTC